GCTTTCCTAAGAGGTGTCCTCATCCAAGACAGACTTCAGTTTCGACCCTATCCTAGGGCTTATCAACACTTCAAGCGGAAACCGAACGCTGTAATATATAACCTGTATTAAGCCACATTGCCACGAGTGTCCTTGGGTCATAGGGCAAATGTGAATTTAAAGTAATTTCAAGCAAATTTTCACATCACATTCCATGTTGAGATTGTCGGTGGAGCAAAGTTGTATTAGTTATAGCAATATACCACATTAATTATTTAGTGTATATAAGTAGGTTTTCAAGTCTACCTGTGTATTCACTATATTTAGTTTAGGATGGTTAGGAGAATATTTGTTGAATTCTTCTACATTATTATGAATAGACCTTATGTTTCTATCGAGTTTAATGTAGCCTTGCTTATCCGACATGATGTCGCGAATTTTCCATGTGGTAATATAGGCGGTAATGCAGCAAAACAATTTAATTAGCAAATCATGAATGATCGATATAAAAATGAAGGCCTATAAATGTCCTATGAATCGGGAGATACTACAAAGCCAAAAATTCAGCCATTAAGTTACAAGGGAACGATTTGCCCCCCCCATGTGAAGCTGCGATGAATTAAGAAAAGACAATCGAATTCAATTGTATTTGCAAACCTCCTATAGCTCAACGTGTCTCCTAGAGACCACATGGTCAATAGCAGAGGTGAATATAAGAGATTAATAAATTAGCCGTACTGGAAACCGAGGGGGATTACTTTTCAGTTATAATGGTAGGTTTTAAGGAATAAATCTTGTATTCACCTTTTTCCGCATTTAGCGGGTTCAAAGAATAGTGGAACGGGAATTTATTTGCACAAATTCAGTCAGAACTCCAAAAAATCCTCCATCAGCTTCATGTGAGGATAATTTATAAATCTTCTCAATCAGCCTTTTTAAACCAAATGAAAAGTAAATATTACCTACAACATATTAAACAAAGTTGATCTTATGTCCATGATGAGAGGCGCCATCGTAAGCACAGAGTTAGAACCTATCAAAGTGACAAGTGAAGGCAATCCTCTTAACCAATTTTATGTTAACCGTTCCGGGGAGAGGAATGATGCCACAAGGGTTAAACAGAAAATTGGTCAAGGGGATTGCCTTCACTTGTCACTTTAATAAGTTGTAACTGCTTACAATGGCGACTCTCATTGATGCTGCTGGCTAAACATTTGGAAATGTACCCAGCCAATGGTCCAATACTAGAGATGCCGAATACTATGGGGAGAGGACATGGGAATAGGTACGTTCCACGAGCTCTTCCTGACGCTCCGAGCAAGTTGCGAAAGCAAGGTCGAACCAACACTATCAAGCTGTTTTTTAAGTCTCATCTGAGCGAATAACCTCCACATCCAAGAAAGGTAAATGTCCGTTCTCTTTCACATAAAATTGACATTCCACATTGCCCATTAGGGTGACAGGTCAAATATGAATTTCAAGAAAGGCCATGCATTTTTCTCGTATTACATACTGTGGTGGGATTTTCAATAAGGCAAAATTAATTTGCTATAGCAATCGACAACATTACTTATATATGAGTTGTATTCATCCTATTAAGTTTAAGGTGATGTAGGACTGGTAGTTGCATTTTCCCGCAATAATATGAGTAGAGCTTACATGGGGAAATTCAGCTACCAGTCCTTCATCTCATGTCTATGATTTACTGATAGTCTAGAAAATCTACTCACTACATTACATATTTTTCGTTCATTAGCAGGCTTTCGTGATTGTCAGTAGATCATTTATATGTGTATTCACTCTATTTCGTTTAAGGTGATAAGAATGATACGCATATGACCTACGGGTAGTCTCGAAAACTTACTTATAAAGAAAAAAATAGGTAATGTAGTCGATTGCTTTGGTAAATTCAGCTTTGCTATGTCGACAATCCCATCACAGAATGTAACATGGGAAAAGAAGAGGATTCTAGCATTGAGTTTTGTAACTCGAAAAAATAATCCCATTCTCCTACTGTGGTGCAATCATCAGTTGCCCATGTAGTTTATAACGGCTCTAAACTAACTTATTGGTAAGCTAATTTTTTGGCGCTGGGTTCTTTGGTAGTCCTTTGAATCTATTCTTGTAGACAGTCACGTGAAGCAATGAAATATTTGCTATACTGTCTTAGGAAGCCTCCCAAGTTGTATTCCACGAACTTCGGTCTCTATATTTGAAAACTTGCAAAATGTGTCCTTTCTATCTCTAAGATATTTTATGGATCCTAGGACTTCCTCTTATTTAATTTTAAGAGATATTTTATCGCTAAATGACACAGCATTTCTTCTGCTATCTTTAGACTTGGTAACTCAATTTCCCGACACCTCTCCAGAATTCATAGATAAAGTTAAAATTTTGTTCAGCTTCTGTGCTGGCCTGTGAATTATCCTTGGGTTTGCATTATACTCCTCGTCATGGCATAAATAAAATTTCTTAATAATCGTCAAATAAGTCCTGATACTGTCAAAGCTTTATGTCTATTATAAATTTGTTGTGATATCCAACTTTAATCAGGCCTATGTTAGGGAGGAGAGGATTCCCTATCCGCTTATGGATTTTATAGTAATAGAAAGTCTTAGGGGAAAAAATTAAATTTTGAATGGAATCATTAGCTTATCAACTGGTTAGAATTCGCGTTGTCAAGTAAAACCAAAAATTTAATGGGTTAAAATCGTAAGCATATCTTAAGGGTTAATAATAA